CCTCAACTCAGAAGTGCGTTTTTCTCCACAACGGCTACGAAGGAGCTAACCTTGACCAAGTCGTACAGAAACAGATGGGAGTCAAACGAAATAAATTCCACTTTCTGTTCCTATCCATTTGGGGAAGCAGAGTGTGAAGGAGAATGACATGCTGCTAAATGCTTTGCCCAAGGAAGGCTGACCTTCCCTGAAATCATCAAGAACTACTCTAAAATATGGTCCACAGCTCAATTTTTTCCTATGCATTTGACTGCTTGTACACCATATCGGGAAATACATCCAGGACAAGCAAGTCTCACCATCCCCTGTAAACAATGGAACCACAAAGCCAGGGAAAACTGGTTAGTGACAAGAAATTTAACAGTTCTACACAGCATCTTCTAGCTGAGGGGCTCAAAGTAGTTTTCCAAAGGAGGCAAACACAGTTCTGCTGTTCCATGTATTTAGTGAAATGAGTGCAGCCTGTATGCCTGTCAGCGATAATTAGTTAGTAATATTCTATTGACGAATTCTAAGTGTTGTCTCCCACCTCCATCAATGAACTAACCAAGATGAAGGAAGGAAGGAACAGTGGCTGGTGCATTTTGGGTGGGGGGCACAGAATAACCACAAAGAGCCTGTAATCAGTTACAGGATACATTAAGTTCTCCACTCAATTCTGACAGACCTTTTAACAAAATATAGAGGCTTTTTGTTTTGGGGTTTTTCTTTGCTCTTATTCCCTGCCTCCCTCTCCTGAGCTACGGAGAATTAAAAAAGAGCAGATGAAGATTAATCGATTCTGACTCAAGAAATCTGTGTTTTTAAAAAAAAATACATAAAGGGTGTTACAGGAATTTCAACTGCAGAAGGGAACTACCGAAGAGGTGTTTGCACCTGTATTTGCAAAGAGCCTGAAACACAAACCCCTTGAGCTTCATTGCCAGGTATTTTATTAAAAATATCAAGACTGTCAATAATTTTTTCTGCTGACCTGCTCATACCAATAAGTAGCAACTCCTATTATGAAAAATCGTCAATGGCATTTCCCAAATTGCAGAACATTTGCTCTGCCAGCAGCTAAGTGATGATCCACACTTGCTGACAAAGCCTAATGAGGAGTGATGGATGCAACTGCGGGAGGGAACAGGAATGATGTAAGTTGTAAGAAAGAACGGAGCCTTCCAAAGATTAGAAAATATTGATGTTATAATCAGCTAATCTGGTTTTCTAGCATGATACCAAGAGGCCAAAACTAACAAGCACACAATTCACCTCCTACTCCCCCTTCACCATGAGACAAACTGGGCCTTAGGACATATAATTTTGGCACTGCCCAGCCTAGCTCATGTGGTTTTCCAATACAACTTCTAGCTAGAAGAGCAATTTGAGGACAAAAATTATGGATCTGAAACCCACACCCACGTCCAACTGAAATGGCTGCAAAAGCAATGCTTTTGTGTTTGCCACTCCGCGCCGCCTGGTCCTCAGCTTGGTTCACACACGAGATATTGGGGGGGGGGGGGGGAGAGAAAT